TTCCATTGCTTCGCGTTGTCAGCAGTGTCATGATCAAAATGGACGTCAGTTTAAGAACATTCAGTGAAAAAACAATCAAATGATACTTATGAATATCTTTACATTTATTTGATAATAATATTTGCTCAAAACCAATTTTACAAGTAGGTAAAATGTGTATACATTTTTTGGGACACCCTGCATATGCTAGCGTTCAGAAGCATATAAAAGGGATACAACAAAGAGGAAAATAAAATGACACATTACTTTTGGAGAAGGCGGATTTATTGCTAGGGTGTCATTGAACTGTCCAAAGTTCCTAGGTGCAGCACTTTCGTATACGCCAACTGGGTCGTCTTCCTTCTCCTCTACTAGCGTCTGTGCCAAACGCGGCAACGCCTTCGAAACAAGAATAACAAACTGCTTACAATTTGCAAGTAGGTCGTAAATTGCAAGATAAATGTGCTTTAGTCGGGTGCAGGCAGAACTTCATACCTCATCGAGGATTCTCGCCTGCTCGAGTTTTTCGGTCAAGAATTGTTCCGCCTCAGTCAAATCACAAGGCACACTTCCAGCTGCTTCAAAAAGGAAATTGTCGCACTGATTGCTGTAAAGGGGAAGGAGAACACAGTGCAAATTATCTTGAAAAAAGAAACGCGTTCTTGCCGACAGTTAGACATAGAGATACTGCGCTGTAAAATGTTAAGACGTCGGATACCGCTGATTTTATGACACCCTAAGTATCCTTTTTAGACGGGAATCAATTGACTGCATACATTTATACTGAACTCTTGGGAAACTTATGCATCAGACAAGAAACCATAAATAATGGTTTCCTAGGGAGCGCAAGAGCGAAAGCCTTATCCTCTCAGTAAAGAAACTATCCTCCCCACAAATACATAAACTGCATTCACGAAGAAAAAAATTTAAAATATGGACGGATACGATGAAAACTGCTCATTGTCATAGAGACTAGAGTCAAGGACTCGGTGCCGGTTTAGATGGGGAATATTGACATTTTAATTATTTGGCAGCCTGTTAGTACTGCAATTAATCATCCCTTGTCTCCTGGAAATGCAGAGATTGGGATGATTTCTGACTTGTCCGACAAAGGTAAAGCGCAAGTGGATAGTAATATTAAGGGTATATGGCAGCAGCGTATAAGTCAGTGTACCACAACGTCCCTATAGCGAGTACATCTAATCGCTATATGATGTTACTAGTGAATGGATGCTCAATATTCCCCGACAACATCGGGGCTGCTAATATAATGAGTTGTTTTCATGCTACCTGCGGTCTGCAGTTATGCTAAAACTTCAAAAATCGACGAGTTTTGTACATGCTCAAGTAATGACAGAGGCCTCAATAGGGAGGTAACCCAAAATATGGAAAATAAATATGCTGTAAGCATGCTGTTATTTCCGGCTGAACAAGTATGGAATTCTCCACATCTCTTCTCCAAAAATTCCCGCCCGACCTGCAAAATGACTGTTTACTTCTTTCGAAGGCTGCCCCCTGCCTAGCCTTGAATGCTGGCCGTCCATGACTGAATACTCCCCCCCCTTGGCCCCTTCTTTCGCTTTTGACATTTGACACTTTCACATTTCACACTGTCACCTTACACACGGAGAGCACCGCGAATTGACATGCCAGCTGTCCATTCCGCCTTCTTGACTCAGCTGCCGCGGCTATCCCGAGAACTAATCGTCCAGCCACCCCCCGTCGCTGACGCTTTCATATTGCCTCTTTTCATGATCCCCCCTCCGTTCGCGCTGGTGTTTCAGACAAATCCTGATGCTACGTGAATCATATAAAAGCGGAGCCACCCCTCTCTCCCACAAACACACAAGGTTTCTCAAGACTATTTTCGTCCTGCGTGGCGTTATTCTTGAACATGTGTCGTTACCCTGTATAGACTCCCTTCGTTCTTGACTTTGTGTGTCCAATGATGAGGTTTATACACAATTTAGCATTTACCAATTTTGCTTAATAGTTGTTATCACTGGTTTTGGCGCATGCGTGACTGCTGGATACAGTCAGAGAAGTCAGAGGACGAAACACATATGCAATAGACTTTAAGAGTATTCTGTCAACATAACATTCCTCCTCACCAGAGCGGCCACTGCCACTAGATTTCTAATCATTTACATCTCCCAGCCCAAAGATTTGTTGACGTATCTTTTATAGATTTTTTTATTGGCTTTATTGATGCAATCTCGAAGAGCTGCATGCATTTTGTAAGGAGGGCACAAAGCATGAGTCACCATTCTTGCCGCCATGAGGTTAAAATGACAAAGACAGCTCCACACGCGAAAGGGCGCATGCACAAAGGGTCACGCGTGCGCGCGCGCGTAACAGCGCCGCCAGGTTGTGGCTGATTGGATAGGTCACTCACGCGTGGACCAATAAGAAGAGACAAAGCCGCTTGCCTTTAAATACGCTGCCGCTGACCGGAGGCGAAATTTGCTGCCCATGAACAAGACATGCTGCCGACATAGAGGACAAGCTGC